AGTCACTGCCCAAGCGCCGGATTTCGCCGATTTCACAGTGAGACCGGGCCCGTGTTATCGTGAATGAGGTGATACGGCACACCCTTTAAGAGGAGGGTGTATTTTAAAATTCTGAAGCATTTTACCTTCATCTATAAAACTGCATACCCCAGCTTTAACTTACCTGTCAGGGCTACATGTGAACATTCACCTGTTGGCTGTGACGTTTGAACTCCTGACGTCAGAACATTTGGTACATTTTCCTCAGAATTCTAAATAGAATGTGCTGCTCCCTACACACACACACACACACACGCACACACACACACACACACACACGCGCGCTGCACGCGGCTCCACCCCTCTCCCTCACGAGGCACAGAGAGGCATGTCCCTGCGTGTTCCTGTGGAGGTCGAGTCTGAGCAGACAGACTGAATCCTGGAGCAGCAGCAGCAGCACGCGCTCCACGCGGACCGTTTCCTGTCCACTGAACCCTTTATACTTCTGGATGGATTGTTGACGTCACGCCCTCTGATCCTCGGATACACTTCTTTTGGATTTCGGGATTTAATCGCTCTAAATAACATTTCTAGTTGTATTACACATCTTTGACAGTCCTCTACAGTCTCCGGGAGGCTTGTACCTACCGGGGGCAGCCATGGGTTTCTACGGCACCTTGAAGCTCATCTTCTACAAAGTGAGTATTGATCATAGGAAGGGCTGATCGATCAGCTGATGTCAGCAGCTGATGTCAGCAGCTGCGGCTCGAGCTCCGTTGCCGTGAATGTATTGAAAGCTGTCGTGCAGGAACTGGAGGTTGTCAGGCTCGGACAGCACCGGGATGACAAGGCGTTTCTCTCTGACAGCGGAATGCCTCAGTGGCGCGTGCGTGTGTCGGTGTGTGCGCGCGTGTGTGGACCACTGCGGAACCGGCAGAGGGGAAGAGAGACTCCTCATATCATGTCCTTCCTCTGCCGCTATCTCTTTCTCTGTGATTGCATTATTGATTATTGATCACCCAGCTGTGTGTGTGTGTGTGTGTGTGTAGGTGTCTGTGCTTTGAGCCTCAGCAGGTAAACACACAGAGCCAGTGAGCAAGGCATTGTTCAGGGTTTGAATCCTGCTTAAAACTGCTGCAAAATATGTTTAATGACAGGAGAATAAAGCAGCAAATACCTGTGAATGAAATGAAATGTATAAAAATCAAACAACTTGAGTATCTGATGCTAAAATTAAAACCTTCCACTTCCCTCAAAGTGGTATATGACACACTGCAGCTGCTGACCAGGGGATTTTTGGGTCAAAAATAGTACATTAAACAGCAGAAGTCAATGAAAATTAACTTTAGATCAACCAAACATTAGTATACAATCTATATTTATCCCTACAGCCACAAATTACAGAATTAAAGCCCTAAAAACTGAAAATAAAGCATCCATACTCTACAAAGACAAAAGGGATATAAAACTGCATAGCTCCTATAAACTGTATTTTTGGGGTTAAATATGCTGTATTGAACAGGAAAAAATGTATGAATATGAATTAAGTTAGTAATCAATGCATATTAATCTCCACAGCTGCGAATCACAAGATTAAAACCTTAAAAATGAAAATATCTCTTTCCTACACTTTGAGAACACAAATGTCCACCGTGTACAGCTCCTTTTAACTGCATTTTTGGGTCAAATATGATGTATGAAACGGTAAAAATGTATGAAAATTAATTAAGATTAAGCAAGACATAGCACAAACGACAAGATTAAAATTGTAAAAATGGACAGTTTTGCTTCCCTACTCTATAAAAACATGAGTACACAGTACAGCTCATTTAAACTGCATTTTGGAGTCAAATATGGTGTATGAAACAGCCAAAATCTATGAAAATGAATTAGAATTAACCAAAACTTCAAGTCCCTGAACTGTAGGAACACAAATACAAGAGGGATACCACATGGTACAGTTCCTGTAAACTGCCTTTTTGGGTCATATGTGGTGTATGAAACAGTACAGATCTATAAAAATAGATTCAAATCAAGCAAAAATTATTTAGTATTCAATGCATATTCATTTTTACAGCTTCAAATCACAAAATTAAAACCTTAAAAATGAAAACATATCTTCTCAACACCTTGAGAATACAATTACAAGAGGGATTCCATAGTGTACAGCTTGTGTAAACAGCATTGCTGGGTCAAATATGGTGTATGAAACTGTATCTATGAAAATGGATTAGAAATCAAGCAGAACTGTAGTATCTGGCGCATGCTCATCTTTACAGCTACAAACCACAAGATTGAAACCATAGAAATTCACAATTTTTTGTTTCCTTACACTGTGAAAACCCAAGTCAAAGAGGGATATTACACAGTATGGCTCATGTTAACTGCATTTTGGGGTAAAATTTAGTGTATGAAACAGAAAAAAATCTATGAAAATGAATTAAAGTTAGACAAAACTTTAGTATCTGATGTTTGTGTGTCTAACCAGATTCAAACCACACGGATCTAACCAAAGAAAGTGACTTTCTTTGCTTCCATCTATTGTGAAAATGTAGATTATAGAAGTATTACACAGTAAATCCCAGCAAAATTACACACAGGTCACTGTAAGGTCACAGCGTACTCTTAACTGATTATCATGGACTCATCATAAATCATTACAGTTGTGTTATAGAGATGTTAAAGCTTTAAAATGTACAAGAGGAACAATAAGGTTACTGTGCGTTGCTTTATGTATCATAGCCACACTGTAAGTCCCTATAGCAACACCACAGTGATGCCAACAGAAGTACAAACACCGTAAAAGTATTGAATAGTTTATTATAGGGATATAATAGAGATTTTACAAACAGATGTCACGCAGCAGAGCTGAATTCTTCTGGTTTTAACAGTAAACACATTTTTGTTGTTTTTCATCCTCGGGTGAAGTTTTTCTTTTTGGCTTAATGAAATCCACACAGACGCGACATCTGTTATAAAAAGCCAGCGACATTAGGGTGAAAAAAAGTCAGAAAATGAAAAGCAGATTATGAGTTTAGGTCAGAGTTAAGAGCTGAAATTACAGCCGTATGTTGTTGATGTTGAAGCACTGACATTGTGGGAGGTTTGGGGTTCAATTCTGGCCTCAGTGATGATCTACAGACTGAAATACTCAGTGTCTGCTTGTATTTTATTTTGAAAAGTGACACAGATTATGCAGCCAGTTATGATGCCCGAGAGGAAGGAGGACACACTCACACACTGTCCCGTACATCTCCAGCCTCCTGTGTGTGTGTGTGTGTGTGTGTGTGTATGTGTGTGCGTGTGCGTGCGCAGCAGCCTGTTAGCGCGTGCTGCTCTATTTTAGACGAGTGCTGCACCGGTGACATTCCTGCGATTTTCTGCATTCCTGCGTTCATTCACTGAGAGAGAGAGACACAGAGAGGAAAGGGATGGAAGGCTGATTCAGACCTCTGGGTGGTTGCGTTTGTGTTACTTAACAGCGTAGGTGTTTTCAGTGTCTCTCCAGTAACACAGAGGGCTGCAGTTTATCTGCATCTTTTTATTAATGTGGACTGGTCCCTTCTTTGACCACAGGAACATCCCAGAAACCCACAAGCATTTGTAGGAACTCATTTCCTCGACACATGCAGTTTAATGTGTCTCAGAATCAGAAACAGAAATCGGGTTTTTTTTGCCAGATAGGTTTTCACATACAAGGAATTTCCCTTGGTATTTTGGTGCATAGTAATCAAAGTGAATAAAGATGCATGTTCATCTTAACGCTACAAACCACAAGATTAAAACCTATGAAATGGACATTTTTGTTGCTTCCAAAAACCATAAAAACACAAGTTAAAGAGGGATATCAAGCAGTACAGTTGATTTTTTTGCGTCAAATATGGTCTATGAAACCACAAAAATCGGTGAAATGAATCAAAGTCTGACACATCTTTAGTATCCAGTGCTTGTTCATGTGCGTAGCTTCAAACTACAAGAACAAAACCTCAGAAATTGACTTCTTTTTGCTTCCTTATGCCATTAAAACACAAGTGAAACAGCAACAGCAAAAATCTATGAAATTGTATGAAAATCAAGCAAAACTTTAGCATCCAATGCTTGTCTGTATATGTAGCTTCAAACTACAAGAGTAAAACCTAAGAAATTGACATTTTGTGCTTCCTTTTCCTATAAAAACACAAGTAAAAGAGAGCTATTACACAGTACAGCTCATGTAAACTACATTTTGGGGTCAAATATGGTGTATGAAACGTCAAAAATCTATGACTGTGAATTAAAATCAGACAAATTTCAAGTATCCAATGCTCGTTCTTCTCTACAGCTTCAAACTACAAGCTTAGAAATTTATATTTCTTGCCTCCTGGCACCATTAAAACACAAGTAAAAGAGGGATGTTACACAGTACAGCTGTTGTAAATGTAATTTGGGGTCAAATATGGTGTATGAAACAGCAAAAATGTATGAAATATATAACCCGAGAAATTGACATTTTATTGCTTCCTTTTCCCATAAAAACAAAGTAAAAGAGAGACATTACACAGTGCAGCTCATGTTAACTGCATTTTGGGGTCATTTTTGATACTCTCCTACATTGTGTAATTAGGGATTATAAAGGGATACTACACAGGAAATCCTGGCACAATTACACATAGGTCACAGTACAGTCACTGTGTGCTCCTAACTGATTAGAATACATGCATCATAAGTCATTACAGTAATGTTATAGAGATGCTATAGAATCTGTTCATTGTCGTGGACTCTGCAACAACTGTTTACTGTCCTTTAACACCTGTAATTTCATATGTCTTGTATCCAGATAGAATTTTAATACAATATAATATATTTTGATAGATTTCAATAGAAGAAGGACATGGCTGGATTAACCGGTTAGAGGGCCCTGGGGCAAAAATTGCTATTTGACCCTAATGACCCCCCAGTTACCACCCTGTGTGGACTGTATATGTTGTCACCAACCTCCAGTGAGCGCTACTGTCTCTCATTGTTTCTCTTTTTCCCACCAGATGAAGAGGAAGTTGGATCATGGTCCAGATGGCCGTCCGTTTCCTTCAGGGAAGAAGCACTGCAAGGGCAATGGATACCTCAGGTACAGCACAGATTGTGTAACTAACCCATAGATGACTATAGGAACTTTATGTTTAAACTCTTAACAGCTATTAACTGCAAACGAGGAGTAAATGCAGTAGCTTATTGTTGTTGTAATAAACAAATAATTAGCATTCTGTTAGCAAAACAGGATATGAACATAAGTGGAACTAAAAACAATTTTCGTTTGTTCATCATAGCAACTTTTTTTAAGCATTTTGTAAGCTGGTAATTCACTACACATTGGAAATGCTAACTGGTACAGATGCTAACATCCCTGTTCCTCTCTCCCCAGTCCTTCCAGTCTGGTTCAGGCCACCACACCAACAACATTTGGTGACCTACGGCTGGCCAATGGGCATTCGGCTCAGCGGCGGCGAGTCACCTCCGGCCCGCCCCCCTCTGGCCTGCAGGACTGGCTTCATACCTTCCAGGTCAGGACTCATGTCACTTCCTTACACTGAGTGCATAATTAAGAGTTAGCTAAAACCCTCCTCCAAACAGTGATCATCCTATCATAGCTTAGTAACAGTAACTAGGCACAGCAGCTTTTGATTTCTCGTTGGAGGGTGAGGTCTTTTTTTTGTAGCTTTTCGAAAAACAAAAACACATTTTGTTGTTAGCATTCCCTGCTAACTAGCTTACTACCAACAGCAGTAAACTGGTGTTACCTATAAAGCAGAGGAGCACATCGTTGGCTAACTATTACTTAGGGTTTCAGGCTATGCTAGAAAAATCCCCATTCAGGACTACAGCATTCACTGTGTGGGAGCCAAGATGCTAATTTATTGGAGTTTTGGCCAATGTTAGCTTCCGCAGATCTTCTTGGGATTTGGGGAAGTTTACATTCAGCTGAAAATATGAAAATGAAAACACAGATTTGAATTCTTTGTTGCTTGTCCAAGTATGTTTTTGTGAAGTAAGCATCCAAACAGGGCTATGAATAACATCGCAGCTAACGTTAGCTTAATTAGCTAGATGGCTATAGAGTTTTCATTTTAGCCACAAAATAAACAGTCAGGGTCTCGAAATAAGAAGCTGTTTTATTTGTATGAATGTCAAATGTTAAAACTGCGATTGGTATCGTTGAAAACTAAATTCTGTTGAACGGAAGTTCTAGAACGGGACTTTAACATGCATAGCAACAGTAACTAAGGCGGGGGCAGGGCTTAAGTTAAGTTTAAGTTTATTTATTTTATTAATCCTCCTGAGGGGAAATTCATTGCTTTTATTAAAGGTCAATGTCAGCACGTCATCCCACATTATCTAGCATGTTTCATGATAGATACTTGTCATACTTGATGAGCTGGAACAAAATACAACTGGATTACTTCACAAAACAACACTAATGTGCGCACACACACACACACACACACACACTCATTGCATCCCTTGATGTGCTGCGTTAAGTGTGTATGTGAATATCTTCCGCTTGCTGCACGTAAACACTGAGCGTTAGAGGAGCGCTGCCTCCGAGCTGCTCTTATGTAACTAATAATAATATTAAAAAAAACATACAAGTACAGACACACACATGCAAATGAAAATCAGGGATCTGTGTTTTGTAGCTTGGGGAAAAAGTTCAAACAATTTCAGAGACGTGGAAAGTCTTTGAAACACACAAACAGAGGATACAAGAACACACACACAGACACACACACACACACACACATACATACACACACTCACAAATAGACAGAAATGCTTAAATATTCTCAGACACACACTCAAATAGAGCAAAATGTCTTCCTCATGTTCTTCCTCTTCACCCCCCGCAGACGTGGAGCGGTCCTGAGAGATTATTGGCTCTGGACGAGTTGATTGACAGGTGTGAGACCAGTCAGGTGAAACACATGATGCAGGTCATCGAGCCTCAGTTCCAGAGAGACTTCATATCCCTGCTGCCCAAAGAGGTACACACACACACACACACACACACACACAGATATCGTCGCACTCAAGTCCTAATGTCCTCAAATGAGACAACATTTAAGTCCCAATGTCCTCAAATGAGACGACAGTAGAGTCCCAGTGTCCTCAAACGAGACGACAGCACAGTCCCAGTGTCCTCAAACGAGACAACAGTAGAGTCCCAATGTCCTCAAACGAGACAGCATTTAAGTCCCAATGTCCTCAAACGAGACAACAGTAGAGTCCCAATGTCCTCAAACGAGATGGCATTGAAGTCCCAATGTCCTCAAACGAGACAACAGTAGAGTCCCAATGTCCTCAAACAAGACGACAGTAGAGTCCCAGTGTCCTCAAACGAGATGACAGTAGAGTTCCAATGTCCTCAAACAAGACGACATTTAAGTCCCAATGTCCTCAAACAAGACGATAAAGTCCCAGTGTCCTCAAATGAGACGACATTTAAGTCCCAATGTCCTCAAACAAGATGGCAATTATGTCCCAGTGTCCTCAAACAAGATGATAAAGTCTGAATGTCCTCAAACGAGAGGACATTTAAGTCCCAGTGTCCTCAAACTAGATGATAAAGTCCGAATGTCCTCAAACGAGACGATAAAGTCCCAATCTCCTCAAGTGAGACGACATTTAAGTCCCAATGTCCTCAAACAAGATGACAATTAAGTCCCAGTGTCCTCAAACAAGATGATAAAGTCTGAATGTCCTCAAACGAGAGGACATTTAAGTCCCAGTGTCCTCAAACAAGATGATAAAGTCCCAATGTCCTCAAATGAGACGACATTTAAGTCCCAATGTCCTCAAACAAGATGACAATTAAGTCCCAGTGTCCTCAAACAAGATGATAGTCTGAATGTCCTCAAACGAGAGGACATTTAAGTCCCATTGTCCTCAAACAAGATGATAAAGTCCGAATGTCCTCAAACGAGACGATAAAGTCCCAATGTCCTCAAACAAGATGACAATAGAGTCCCAATGTCCTCAAACGATAAGACAATAGAACCCAAATGTCCTAAAACGAGACGACAATTAAGTCCGAATGTCCTCAAATGAGACAACAATAGAACCCCAATATCCTTCAACTAGGCGATAATAAAGTCCCAGTGTCCTCAAACGAGACGATAGTAAGGTTCCACACAATTCTTATCTTCAGGTGATTTTACACTAAAGAAAACAGACTTATTAAATTATATTTAATTTCTGACAGAAATCCTCGACACTGGACCTTTAAGTAAAGTATCTGAATAATTCTTCCCCCACGGTCCTATAATGTGATCTATAATAAAACAGATATGAAACATGTATATCAGTGACACAGCAGTGTTTAAAATGTGTGTGTCTGTGTGTTTGCAGTTAGCTCTGTACGTGCTGACCTTCCTGGCTCCCAGAGACCTGCTGCAGGCCGCTCAGACCTGCAGGTACTGGAGGATCCTGGCTGAAGACAACCTGCTGTGGAGGGAGAAGTGCCGAGAAGAAGGTAAACAGAGTAAAGACACAGTGCGCCATGTACTGGGTGTACTCTGCTGGGGGAATGAGAGCTCTGGTCTCAAATCAGGTCTCTGTAGTTTCATTAAACAGCTGCTGAGTGTCGTTTTTATTAGACAAACAGGAGGAAATGGAGCATGTATTGGGGACTATTTTCAATGGCGGATTAATCCACATTTGTGGCAGCAGGATGGTGTATGTAGGACTGAGTCAAAATGATTTACAGTGTGTGCTGATGATGATGAAGGGACGAGACCCAGTGCAGCAGTGTGGCTCACTGATGTGTTTTTAATGGGAAACAATGGAGCTCTATTGCGCTGAGGAAGAAGATATATATTAGGCCTTTGTGTTTGTTATGCATCACCAGACTTGTCCTTTAATTATGGAAGCAAACTTCCAATGATGGAACACTGACTGTGCAGCACAGCGTCCCGCCCTTTCCCTCCTCTTCACTCTTTGATTGCGTTTGCTTCGACACATCTTGATGAATCGTCTCCAAAACCTATAAAATGAGGAGAAACTGTTGTATTTCCTGTCGTGGCTGTGAGCGTTCATCATGTGGTGCCTGTGCACGGACTCTGGAGGTGTTTTCCACAGGGCAGATATGAAAAACAGGAGAGAAGGCAGGAGCTTACTGGATGTACAGTGCTTTCTAACCTGAGTGTAACATGCAAATACAGCTACACACACACAGTCAGTCAGTCACTCCACCTTCATTCAGCGCAATGCAGTGGCTCTGTGTGTGTGCCTGTGTGGTGCGTGTATATGTGTGTGTGTGTGTGTGTGTGTGTTTCTCTCTGGGCGTTCTGCCAGTCAGCCGAGATTCACTGCCAGCACTCAGCAGCCATACCAATGAGCCTACCTAGCGTTAGCACCACGCCACAGCCATACTAATGAAGCCAGCGTTAACTGCAGCCCACCAGCTTCATAAATAAGGCTAATTTGTATTTGCACTACAGCCCTGTCATACCAGTGGGATCACTGTTGGCATTAGCCAGCACTCTGTGAGAATATAAATGCTGATAATCTGCATTAGCACAATGCCAGTTAAATAATAATGGAGTTAGCGCTGATGGTACATGAACTCATATCAGATTCTTCTACACATGAATGAAAGGTAGAGAAGTTTTGGTTGGTTTATCCGATATTATGGTGATACAACCAAACTTATATTAGCTCAGACTACTGCAGTCTACAGTTCGGATCGTGTTTACCGTGTTCACATAAAGAGTCCATATGAAGGCCTCCCTCTTTTAGTGTAGAGAGCTGCATGGATGATGGTTTTTGTAGGATGGCGCAGAAGTTGTGCTGCAGTATCAGTAGCAGTTCTACTGATTTTGGTGTTTTCATGAGATTTAAGTCGTAATGAGGAAACGAAATGGATTCTACAACGAAGGTGTTTTGAATATTATTTTTTAGAGCATTTAACCAACATGTTGGTAACATTTGGCAGCTTATATCACAAAAAACAGTATGATTTTTAGGGGGCGGGGCTTAGCTGGAGGCACAACGATACTCCTCAGACATTAGTGCTGGCTAGCAAGTTCTGTTGGCTTGTTTTAGACAGTGGAGGAAGATGATGCGAGTGGTGCGTTCAGAAATACTCATTCTAAGTGTTGGAGCGAATTCTCACGTTGCGTTACTCGTGAAAGTTTGAACGCTACAGTATTTTGTTTTGACTCGCTTCATACGAAGTAGTGTAATCTAACATTAGCTGCTGCAGTTTCACTGATACGAAGCTACAGCATCTAATGTTAGCTTACACTGCTGTCACACCAGTGAAACTACAGCAGCTAATGTTAGCTCACACTACTGTCATACTAGTAAAACTACAGCAGCTAAGGTTAGCTTACACTGCTGTCATACTAGGGAAACTACAGCAGCTAATGCTAGCTTACACTGCTGTCATATCAGTGAAACTACAGTAGCTAATGTTAGCTTAGACAGCAGTTGTAACAGTTGTGCTAATTAAACTTATGATAGTGACAACTGCTGTGGCTAATGTTAGCTTATAGTATATATTAGCTTATAACTCTAGCCAGCCATTTTAATAGCCATGTTTGCTAGCTTATCTGATTGTAATTTCACTACAACAGCTAGCGTTAGCTTAAATGATGAGTTGAAATGTATGTCTTTATCTTTGGAGGACCAGTTAAGGCTACTGTATCTGTTAGCTTAGCATTTAGCAGTGCTTACAAAACTGTAATATTTAAGTTGTTTGAGTTGCTGTTCGTTTACACCGTTAATAAAAGAGTAAATAATCGTAGTGTTAATTGAAGTCAACTACCATTATTAAAGCACGTTAGCTTACACTGCACAGTTGCCAACAAACTACAGCAACTTTTTACGTTACATTATTTTCTTCAGCGATTATTTCTTTCTAGTGTGTGTTTGTATAGTAAAGTATGATTTTTACATATTTTGCGTTAAAAAATTACTTGAATGATTAAACGGTTATCAAAACTGTCTTTCGTCCTCTCCACAGGTGTGTCAGAGTATGCGTCAACTCGTCGTAGGAAGTGCTCACGGCCAGGTGTGGCGGTCAGTCCTTGGAAATCGGCCTACATTAGACAACACCGCATAGAGAACAACTGGAGGAAGGGAGACACACGGGAGCCCATGGTACACAGTCACACTGATCCAGCTGACAAGCGTGTATTTGATATGTAAACATGGATTAGTGACATTAAATCCGGGTCTCTGTCCCTCTCTCTCTGCAGGTGTTGAAAGGTCACGATGACCACGTGATCACGTGTCTGCAGTTCAGTGGTGACCTCATTGTCAGCGGCTCTGATGACAACACGCTCAAAGTCTGGTCCGCCATCACCGGCAAGGTAGAGCGCAGTGTCAGCAGAGACAGACATATTGATTATGCAAATTATGATTTTCTGCTGCTTCAGCTATAAAACACAAGTGTGTATGTGTGTGTTGGGGAGGTGTCTGGTTTGTCTCTTAAGATTACATCGTAGTATCGTTATACTGCTCAGTGTGCTGTAAGCAGTTGGTACGACTTTGTAGTGCTGCATAATTACATTTACCAGTAGTCTCCGTAGAAACAAGTCTTTAAGCCTCTGCGCCGGCAACAGCTTTGACTGGAGACATTATGTTTTCGGATTATCTGTCCATACGTCCATTCTTGTCAGTGATGAACTGATTAGATTTTGGTGTTTAAAGGTCAAGGTCACCGTGACCTTGGGTCTGTCATATTCTTGTGAGTGTGATATCTCAATAACGCCTTGAGGGATTTTTTTTTTCAAATTCAGCACAAATGTCCACTTGGAGTCAACAATGACGAGATAAAATTTTAGTGCTTTAAAGGTCAAGGTCGCTGTGACCTTGGGTCTGTTGTATTCTTGTGAACGTGATATCTCAAGAATGCATTGAGGGATTTTTTTTTTCAAATTCAGCACAGATGTCCACTTGGACTCAACAATGAACAGATTAAATTTTAGTGGTTAAAGGTCAAGGTCACTGTGACCTTGTGTCTGTCCTATTCTTGTGAATGCAATGTCTCAAAAATGCATTGAGATTTTCTTTTTTTTATTTTGGCACAAATTTCCACTGACAGTGATGATGAACAGATTAAATTTTAGTGGTTAAAGGTCAAGGTCACTGAGATCTTGTGTCAGCCCTATTCTCAAGAACACATTGAGGGAATTTTTTTCAAATTTGGCACAAATGTCCATCTGGACTTAGGGATGAACTGATTAAATTTTGGTGGTCAAAGGTCTCATGAACACAATATCTCATAGTGCAATGAGAGAATTTCTTTAAATTTGGCACAAACATCCACTCTGACTCACTGATGAACTGATTAGATTTAAGTGGTCAAAGGTCAAGGTCACTGTGACCTTGTGTCTGCCCTATTCTCAAGAACCCAATATCTCAAGAACGCATTGAGGGAATTTCTTCAAATTTGGCACAAACATCCACTCTGGCTCAGCGACGAACTGATTAGAATTTGGTGGTCAAAGGTGAAATATCACTGTGACCCCACTCATCACATTTTTTGTCATAAG